CACCGACTGAATGTCTTTTCATTGGTTCTTCAGTAAACAAAGAACAGAAGGAAGTCAGATGTCAGTGTACGTAAGACCCACACCCTTGACAAAGAACAAATGACACTCCCAGCAGCCCAAGACACAACAGCTGTACCCATCCACCCCGGATACCACCACACATCCGTGAGCCACCTGAGAAAGAGTAAACATTTTCCAAACCCTTGCAAGAAGATCCATTTCTACAGTACATTGTTAGACCCTAATACAAGAATTGACAAAAGTACCATTTTACTTTGAAAGAGATAAAGCAGTATTTATTTTGATAATAAAGGTTTGATTGCTTTTGATTAATTCAGCTTTTTCTGCTGCATAACTGGTTTCCATGGAAATGCAAGTAGATTAAAAACCTGCAACCAAAAGTGAGTCAGTTTTGCCTGTTTATGTCTCCTCAGTTCCCTTGGAAACAGACATTAAAAAAAAAAAAAAGGAATAAAAAGGATAAGGGTCCTGAAATACCTTAGGAAAATCTCTTCCCAAAGCTTTATTTCTTTAGCTGCCTTGCCCGAATTGGAGTTGAAAATAACACATAGCAACAGATGACAGAACAGTGACTTGATTTTTTTTAAGGAGACATCAACAGAACATACCTGGAGATGTTTCAAAAACCACATTCAAACTGCCAAGCTCAAATTGTATTAACGTGGGTTTTGGCAAAAGTACTTCATGCAGAGTATATATTTCTTTAAATTAGTTCAATGCTAATGTAGAAAGAAATACAATAGAGAACAAGAAAATAGCATCACACTGTCCTTGTCCCAAGTATAATTCAATACTTTGAGAGAGAGGGAAAAAGTAAAAGCTGACTTGGGGGAATGAGTACAACATTTCCATTGCCAGGATGCTTTGTAATGGATTCATTCCTTCCTTACAACACGTTCATTTTGAAGTTGCAAAATCAGCTATACACACATCAGATTAAGTAACTCCATCTCCCACCATACTTTTCAAAGACAACAGTGCACCCTCCTACGAGCTGTATCTTCACACTGGTACAGACAACATCTTCCTTCCTCCTCAGAGCCAAATGCATCAGGGAAGGAATAGGATGGGAAGTTACTAGGAAAGAGGCTGCCGTGCACGTCTCAGACCTTCAAAGCCTGCTCCTATCACTACCATTACTATGCAAGAATTCACCATCAACCAAGTGGCCAGAAACACAAGAACAGCAGTACAATTATGTGCTCCTCTAAGTTCCTTCTAGAATGTTCAGGACAGCTAAGCCTGATTACAAACTAGTTATTTCCTTGTCTCCCACATCACATTATCAGTTCTCTGTGCTCAGCACACCTCTCTGCAGCTCAACACTTCATCAGGGAGCTGTGGAATCCATTGTCACTGCCTGTCTGGGAAGAACAGACAATGAACATCTCTTACCGCTACTGTCAGAGACCGAAGCTGCATTACGAACACCAGGAAAGAGAAAAAGGAAATCTGTCCTAAACCCTGCTCATGTACTCCCAACCATCACCAGAACTCAAGGGCCTTCCTGCATGCAGCATTACACCCCTCATTTTTGTACTTTGCTGCTGCTCTGAGAACTAACAACATTCTGCCACCAACATGAAACAAGGCTTGAGGAAGAGTAGCCAGTCATGATACTCCCTAAAAGGATGAGAGAGGGGTAGCAATCGCTGGAGGTTTGTCTTGAATAAAAGAAGGAGTTGAACTTAATTCAATGTTAATTAGTTCACATTAGCTGAATTCAATCTATTCTTGTCATGATAAAGATAAGCCTTATAAAAAAATTAATTATTTCCTATTCTCCTTTGTATTTTGGCAAGGTGCAGAGTCACACAAGAAGGAGAATAATCTTGCAGTACTCACTAAGGCATCACTCAAGGAGGACAGATTTAACATTAAGTGGAGAACATTTAATGTTAAGGGAACATTAAGAGAAACATTGATGTGTATCTTTAAGTCTATTTCAGAGTCTATTTCTAAGTTTAGCCTCCTTTCTTGTAGAGGTCAGATGTACATATAAACAAAATAATTTAGCTATTCATTTACTTTAGCAGCTAAATACACAAACATCCAAGTGTCAGAGAGACTAGTTTACACAGTAAACCACTTTACAGTTACCAAATTCATCCATGACAATGATAAACTGAGGCATCTTCTAAAATATTAAGTGAACAAACCACACAAGCAGCAAATAAGCAGATCAAGTGTTTTTCACCATACTCTACAAAAATTATTTCCATTATTAAATGCAGTTGTCAAGTTTACTAAAGCCAGTCTCTGAAGAGATGCAAAGGTGTCAGGTGCTGGGATCAGCTTAGTTTCATACCTCCTCTAGCACAAAGAACAGAACAAAAACATGTCACTGCTGAAGCTAGGGAGTCACTATTAAACAGACGAAAGACGCTGGTCACAAGAAAAAATGAAAGTAATTTAATAAGAAGATAACTCACACCAAATCAAAAATCTTTGATTACTAAGGACCCCAAAACTAACACATCTGACTTAGTTTTGCTTTTGGGGACACCAGCATTATCATATCAATCTTAAGGAAATTTACAAGGTCACACATGGCACTGTAATTCAGGAAATAAAACCACAACAGTTACGCACCACAAATCTGGGGCACTTAACTGAGCAAGGCTCCCCTTCAGCAAACACAAAGTATAATTGCCCCATTATACATTGTATCATATTACACATTCTCAAGAAGGCCTAATCAGTTAAATAAGTAATTCAAATCTGTCATTTGTTAACTTCCAAATGCTGATTTATAAAACATTATTTATTTCACATTAACTCTTCATACGAAGTTTCCCAAACTGGGGTTTTAAATTTCTACTTTATATTTGCATAAGCTCCTCTTGTGTTAAATTACATGATAAATAAAATGGGTTTTGAAGCATAAAAAAAGTCTGAAGACCAACTGAAAACAGGTACCATCCTTACTGTTTCAAAAGTAACATCTGCCCCTATACATTAGGCTGGTGCTTATGCTAATATTTCAAAGAACTTCATTCAATATTTAAGACACAATCCACAAAAGTGTCTAGAAGGAACAACAGTACAGCCTAAATTAATTGTGACAACTGATAAAGAACAATAAGCTAAATCCTCAAGCTAGCATCATCTCTTTGTACATGTTGAAGAAGCTTAATGCAAGCACTACAACTTCCAAGACTAAACGAATAACACATTTTACACAGAAGATCAGAAAAAGGGAGACACCAAACCAAAGGTCTGTTATGTTACCTCACAGTGCTCCTGTCAGAACAGGATACCCAAAAGCAGCCAATGCACTCACCAGAAATCACTCTAACTAGGCTGCAACTTAGAGTCATCTTTCCAGGTAAAAGTGTTCCATTTATAGAAATCCACAGCATCTGCACACAGATTTGCAACACTGTGCTGCAACCCAAAGTTACCACAAAACTTCCCAGGGACTGACATGGTGTAAAATAACAAATAGCACACAAAACTAAAGGCACAAAATCCAAAGAGGATTGCAGAAAATTAGAACCCTCCCCAGCACCACGGTGCATAACACATAAACACATAGCTGCTTCTTCATTTGTAACAAAGATCACACAAGTTGTGGCATGAAAGTTCTTTTTTTTTTGCAGGCCTTGGGAAGTTCAACATGATTTCCTGGTGGCGTGAAGGAAGTAAAGGATGGTAGGTGGTATAATTTCATAACTGATGATCATGTAATAGCAGATACAGAAAATTTGCTCTTTTAACCACAACTGGACTTATTTTCATGCAGGAAGGATTTTCTACATCTTGTCAATAAAAGTGCTACTTTGCAGAAACACATAATGAAGATTTTTAACTCCCCCTCTGAAGCACAAACCTTAAGAAAAAATTCCTGCTCAGAAAAACACTATGCATCTCCTTTTACAAATTTAGTCTTACAATACTTGTTCTAGTCCAAGGCACCTTAATAGTCCCCCTGTCAAAATCAGTGCATCAGCACAAGTGTCATAGCCAAGTCATCATCTGTCATCACGCAAAACTTCTTAAGAGCACACAACAACAAATTTGGAGCACACAGAGGTAGAAAAAATGTGAAGTTTAAGAAGCATTGCAGCAGAAACCTCTATCAGCATGCACAAAACCACAATACAGTAAAGAAGAAATTTGACCAGAGGCTTCTTGTCAGTTCTGGATCAGTATTTCTCAGCTGCTGATCCAGGGAGCAACAGACAGCTCTGAGATATCTGAAACAGCCTGTGGAACAGCTGCAAGGAAGGCTGGCTTGTGTTTTGGGCAGAAGGGGAGAAGAGGGAATTGCTTTCTTGTTTTTTTGTTTTCAAAAATAGTTCTTGCACGCAGGCAAAATCAACACAAACAAAAATAAGAGCAGCAACTGAGCAATCAAACTTCAGCCTAATTTCATTGCAACTGTAACCTTCTATGGCCTTACTGCACAGTACAATCCTCAGATTGTATTCAGTGAGGTCAGATGTCTCTTTGGACTTAAAAAGGTTGAAAGACATCCTGTAGATGACAGATAGTTGGCAGATAATAACATGCAAGACAAATGGAAGATGAGGTTTTTTGAAGGACAAAGTAAGATGATGAGATAACCAGCATATATGATTACAGAAAGAAATCAAAATTCACCAGAGGGAAAAAAACAAACATTTCTTAGATATATTAAAATGCACAAAGGATTCAGAAAATAAAAGCCTCAACATACAAACTCTTTAATTTGACAATTAGGAATCATAAAGTAACAGAATATTCAGGAACTGAGATCTCTAATACTAGATTTATGAAGCATGAACCTGCTCTTGCACCCAGTAATAAAAGTAAAGCCATAAAGAGCATTAGGTAGACACAATTCGACCCCTTAAGCATACTAAGAGCTCTAGCATTTGAGTGGGCTTAATCACATCCCTCTAATACTACTAAATCAGAACCACCTCACCACTATTGCAACTATTTAACAGAGGTTTTAGGAAGCCCAGAAACAGTTGCACCGTTCCCCTACTTACTTGAATCCTCCCATCTGAGAAGGTGCAACTTCCAAGCAGAATAGTACAGAAATCCCAGTACCAGAAAGAGGCAGAGGGCTAGCAGCAGGTTACGCATAAACACCAAGAGTCCCATCTTCACATTAAATCTGCTCTTCTACATGACCTGAGAAAGAAAAACAGGTTGAGGCTGGAGCCACCTTCTCCAACGGGCATCCCCTCCAAAACGCGCAATCCCATACCCACCGTAAGGCACAGATCCCAGACCGTGCTCCTGCACGAGCAAACACAGAGCATGCCAGCGGAACAAGAGCCACCCCAGACAGCCCGTTCTGGCCGTCACCGCCACGCCGTGACAGAGCATCAGCCCCGCTCCTGCCCGCTTCACACACCCGGCTCCAGCGCGGCCCTGCCCGCCGAGGCCTGGCGAGCACCGCGTCCTCCCGACACGCCACGGAGCGAGCCCACAGCGCCGGGGCGTCCCGCGGGAGCGGCCGGCGCAGCGCTGGTCCCGGCCGGAGCCCCGCGGCGTCCCGGGCACTCCGCGCTGCGGGGACGCGCTGCCCTACAGGCGGTGCCGGTGCCTGGGGAGAGGGGCTTGCCGGGCCCGAGCAGGACGGCAGCTGTCCGCCAGCTGACAGCGGCCGGCTGGAGCCCGGTTTGAACGGGCAGCGGCTTCGCCACCGCCGGGCTGCCCCCGCCTCGCCGTGCTCCGCTACGGGCTACGCCGCGCCGCGCCCCGCCGGACCCCGCTCGGCGCGCCGGCCGCTGTGAGCGGCCCTGCCCGCCCGCATAGCGGCCGCCGCCGGCCAATGGGACGGCGCGGGGGGTCGCGCGCCGGCCAATCGCGGGAGGCGTCCGCAGCCAATGGCGCGCGGGCAGGGGGTCCCCGCCGGAGGAGCGCTGCGGCAGGGCGGCGGTGCGCGTGCGCAGTGCGCCCCCCAGAATCCGCGCGTGGCCGTGGCGCCGCGTTGGACGGTCCGGGCCCGCTCCCCCCTCACGGCCGCTGCCGGGCATCGCTCCTCCTCCAAATCCCGCCGCCGCTCCCCAGTCACGCCGCCAGAGCACTGCGGTGCCTCCAGGCATGGCACTGGGTGGCCCCTGCCAGCACTGGACCCGCTGTGAGGCTCCGCATTGTCACCCCACAGCGCAGCACCTTCCGCCAGCTGAGGCACCCCAGCTGCTGCCGGCCGCTGCGCCCTGCAGTGACACGGCGCCGCCCGCCCTCCAGGCACCGCACTGAGCGCGCTGCGCCTCCCTTCAGGTGCTGCGCTGCCCGACCGCCGAGCACTGCTCCGATGGTCTCTCCGCCCTGCCCCGCTCCGCACAGACAAGCCGCAGCCACGACACGGCAACGCAGCCCTGGGTTTGCTTCAGTCACTGCCCCCCACAGCACCTGTCCCTGCTGCACCGTCCGGCCACTGCCTTCACACTATCGGCTGGCTTCTGCAAGCCCTCCCAGCGCTGCACACCCAACAAGGTCCTGCCCAGCCCCTGCACAGCTCCGCGCCACCTCACCGGTGTGGCACAGCCTGCACCGCTGGACCACACCAGGCACACGGCACAGCTCACGCCACGCAGACAGTGCAGCTTCCCGGTATGTTAGAGTCTCCACCTTCTCACGGCACAGCTGCCCTGGGAGCACAGCGGCACTGGCACCAGCCTGCAACGCAATCTTCGCACAGCGTTGCCCTCGTTCTTGCTGGCCCCACAGCCCTCTAATGCTCCTTAGGCAGAGGGCAAGTGACAAACTCTAATCTAATAGCTCTCAGGGATAGAATGACAAAGGGAAATTATTAGTCGTGAAGGGGAAAGTCATCGGAAAGACACAGTGAGGAATAAACCTCCATCTTTAGTGACCAGCCCAGTGACCCTCCATTTGTCACTGATAACAGAAGGAAAACAAAAGGTGATTTTAAGGGAATCTTAGTAAGATTCCCTGCCCAGCATGGTGGCAGCTCACACTGAGGTGAGCCCAGGTGCCAGTGTTGAATGGCAGACACTGCCTTGAACAGCACAGAGCTGGCTGAGTACTATTGACAAAGTCAGTGACAAAAGGCCAAGTTCCTGCTGGTCACAGGGAGAGCTGGTGGGGGCTCATACAGCCCCATTTTCACAGCCAGAAACCCCACTTTGTGCTCTGTACAAATGAAGTCGGTGCAAGTTGGTTGCTAGTGTGGCACCCACGCAGCCAGGCTTCCAGAGCTACCAAGCTCCTCTGCAGAGACACAAGGGAGACATATGTCACACTGATACACCATTAGGTTTTTTGGATGCCAACAACAACTTCTAGAGACAGCACGGGAGACCAACAGACTCATGCAAGTACTGGTACCAATATCCTCATGAGGAGGTATGTGGAGAGGGGACACGACAACATTCATGCAGCTCTCTGTCCATCCGCAGATCTGCCCCCAGGCTGCTGCCCCATCAACCCCCAGTTCAAAGGGCTGACCTGCTCAGGATGCTCGTTGCTCTGGGGCAGCTCCCTTCCCTCCAGCTTCACGGCTGGCAGCCAGGGCTGGTGCAGGCAGCCTCCTCCTATGGCCCCAGCTGTGCTACCGGGCTCATTTCTTCCAGTAACTCCACCGACTCCTGTGCCACATCATGTCTGGCTGGAGCCCAGTTTTACTTTACAAACGCTTGCTTTATGCCTGCTCCTCTCTTCCCCTCTTCATCCCTCCATCTGCGCAAGCTGGGTCTCATCTCCCTGCCTCAACCGCCCTTGTCCCTGTGACACGGAGCTGCTGCGCTGCCTGCTGCCACTGCGCCACATCTGCTCCAGCTGTCCCCAGGCTTCACCTAAACCGCCCCCGTACCGCATTTGAACCCCGCGGTGTGTGGGCACAGCAGGTGATCTGATTTCAGTGATGAGATAAGCGGGGACCTACAGCACAAAGCCAAATAGCGACAAGTCTGGGTCTTGTTCCTGAGCCGGTGTTTGTCACTCAGGAAACTCTAACCCCGTTATCAGGTGTCAGTGTGCTGCAAAGAGCCCAGGGATGAAGTCACCCTTCTTGCCAGCCTGGAAAAAACTCAGAAGGCAAGCGCTGTGCATCTTGGAAAATCAGGTAACAGTGCCTGGCAGCTGTTTGATGGCCATGAGATGAATTAAGGCAATGATTAGTGGCGTGATTTGATTCAAGTAGCAGGACTTTAGTCTGAACATGTTCCTACTTAGCTTACACATTTCATTCGCAGGCAGATGTCAAGCTGGATGTTGCTAGGAGATAGACAGCAGGGGAATAATTAAGTCTGATTAAATCCTATCATATTGCTGTGCTGCTTTCCAGAATGCTCTGGAGCTTTTTAAAGCCAAACTGACCAAATGATCAGGCAAATGGTCTAGCCCATCCTGCTCAACAAAACACACTTGCAGTAAACCAGCTGAGCCTGTAGCTACTCTGTAGCTGCAGAGAATTTCCTACAGCAGCACTGGCCATGATCTGGAGAAAAAAGGCTCTGGCAGAGGGCACAGCTGGTGTCTGCATTAGCAGGTAGCATAAAACAGTTAGGGCTGGTCACTGCTTGGAGCATGCAGTGAGGGGTCCTACCCCTGTGCTCCTGCATCACTGCTGCAGAGACACTCGTGTTGGACTAAGCATAACTTGGACACACCAGCATGACCACAAGCAAAGCTTCCTTCAGCCCTTCTTTTGAAAGGAGCCCACCTGAGGTATGCCAGAACTGCTCTGCAAATTCCCCTCATGTGCATGAGGAGATGCTGAGCAGCATCTTTTCCCACCAGTAAATTAAGTTAGGCTGTAACTATCTGCATCAGATGCCAAATACACACATCAGCCTTCAAGCTTCCTTCACAGAGACTTCTAATCTCATTTTGTTTCTTTACCTCATAAAAATTACTATTCTAATACTCACACTGTAATCCTTCTCCCCAAATTAAATGTCATGAAATCAGACCCAATACAATATTTTATGATAACTACATACCACTATATACCACACCAAAGATCTCTTTCAGTAATGGCTAGACAGAGATTACCTACGTGGATGCACAGGCTCAAGGAACACAATCTGGGCTGTAAGACACTTTAGTTTTTCTTATTTCTCTGACCAAACTTGTTTCATCTCACACACTCATTATGTATTATTCTTAAATGCAGACTCTGAACGTGATCAGGCTGTGGAGAACATTTTACATATCTGGTGCTCTGGCTACTCCAAGAACAGGTATGTTAAACAGCATCAGCACCCGGCCCACACAAAACAAGTTAAAACAATCTGAACTTTGCTCAAAAATTCTGCCACCCTCCAGATGTTTTCAACAGCAAAGAATCACACTTACCACTTTGGGAGCAGGTAAACACCTGGGGCCTACCTGATTGCCTCCCCAAGTGCTCTGCCTGACTGGACCAGGTTTCCAAGGATCTTCCTCAGATGAAGTGACCCAATGGTCCCACCTGGCAGGCGATTGTGTGAGTGCAAGCCCCTGGCCAGCACCCTGCTCAGCAGTTCATCTCCTTGCAGTAATTCCAATACACTATGTTTGGTTCACTCATAGTTTCCAAGAGAGGAGGTAGGCTTGAACTGAAGACAAGCATTGAAGACTCCCACTTTTCTGGGTCTGTTTCAGGAGTCCCTGACCGTCACGTTCAGAAGAGCATCCCACCTCCCTGTGTCTGGCTTCAGCTTGCAGACATACCATTTTATTCTGCCTTCTGCTTGATTAAAGAGCCTTTCAGAGCCTGGCATTTTCTCTTTGTGACACTACACATATGCTGCAAGCAAACCCCCTCTCATCCGTCTTTCTGAAAAGCTAAATATACTGAGTCGCTTAATTCTCTTTCTGCCAGGCTTTTCCTCCCACCCTCAAGCCATTTTTTGTGTTTCTGCTCTATAGAGCCTCTCTGATTTTCCTGAATCCTTTTCAAGATACAGAATCCCACACTGAGCCTCCCTAATGCTTTGACACAGGGATTTAATCTGCTTTTCCTACTTTCTGTCTTAAAGGGCTGCATTAGTCCTTTCTACCATAGCATCAGGATAAGGATTCAGGCAGGATCCTCTTGAATCTTTTCCAGACCCCCTGCTGGCAGGTTAGAACCACCTGTATCACAGCTGCTCATCCAGGAACTGATGAAAGGAGTTTGCTGGTTGGAGACACCTCCACTCCCACACACCTCCCTCACTTGCTCCCTTGTCCTAGAATCATGGATGTCATAGTTGCCACATTTGGGGGGGCTTAGGGAGCTGAGCTTGGCAGGCCTTAGGAAGATTTGCTAAGCCCTGGTGAGCTGTTCAGGAGCAAATGTCCTGCTCCTAGTAGGTTACTGCACTGTGAAAGACAGGAGAGCACAGAACCAAGCAGTGCCTGCTGGCATGCAGGCTGGTTTGACTGTCTAGGAAATATTTTGCAATGCCTGTTAATATTTTACCCATTCTGCCCAGAATGACAATGGTCACTGTAGAATCTGTGCACCATGTACACAGCCTCTTAAAAATAATAGGCTAGGTGAAGGGTCCCTCTTTAATTCTACTCCTTAAGAAACCAGCTAAAATAACCTTCCCCCCAGCAGCCTCCCCAGTGAAGCCTACCTGAGATCTGGGAGTGAAATACAGAGTCTTGCTCAGCCCAGTCTTGCTCAGCCATCACTGGGTATCACAGTGCATTTCTTCATGCCAGTGCTGCAGGAATCTTGAATGAGCCCAGTTCCAGCTGTGGCCATGCTGCCTCTCTGAAGCCAGGAGTGCTGTCCTTCAGTTTCTGAGATGATTGCTGAATAAACTTGAATTTCTGAGACACTTAGAACTGTGATGGCCATGAACCTCAATGGGTTCATCCTGAGCTCTCCAAACAGGCATTACCCCATCCCCTTTCATACCATAAAAGCAGCTGGAAGAGTCAGGTGAGGCAGGCAGGCACCATCCAGCCACTGCCTCCTCTCAAACAGGAATGGCAGGAGTGACTCCATCTCATGTGCTGTCACAGAGAGGAGGGAATTCAGCAAAGCAGTGGCACAAGAAAAGGCTGCAGCTCCCCATACCAGCCACACTCATGCTACAGGCCCAAGTAATTTGCAGACAATTTGATGATTTAATCAGAGACTCTCCCAAACACATGTGTTAATTTTTAACGAATGGTCAGCTGGTAGGAAGCCAGCAGAATTGAAAGGGTCAAGGCAATGGGCAGAGAAATGGCAGAGAGCCCCAGACTGCCACTGAGTAAGTGAAAGCACAGCTAAAGGCATCCTGAGGCTGTTACACAGGGAAACTCCTTCCTGGGCAAAAGGAAAGTTCTGGGTGCTGAGAGTAGGAGCATTTATAGAGAACAATTTGCCTTCTCCACTGCTTTCAATAATGCTGTAGGATTTTAATTAAAAGTATGCATTATAAAGAATTAATAAGACTCAAGTAGATTAACAACTATGCATATTAACAGCTACATTCTGAGATCTGTCAGCGAGCCAAGGCTTAATGGGGAGACATCAACAACAGGAAGCCTACTTAGACCCCCAGTGACCTCTGGTCCAGTGCCATTTAATATGTCTTAATATCAATAATCTGGATGACAAGATGAAGGCTTACTTTTGGGGCTGATAAAACACTGAACGCTGCTTGCTGCTACAGCATGAGCTGAATGCCCTGGGAAAATTATACCAGCCCCCAGCCCAGTGATGGGCTGCAAAGGAAGGTTCTTGGGAATGGAGAAGACAGGCTGTACTGCAGGGTAGAGAATCTCCCTGAAAGTGGGGGTGGGAGGCAAAATTAAGGAAAAAAGCTTCAAAAGAGCTGTCCCCACACATGACTGTTGCCATGAGCCTGCAGCACAGTACCTTGGCTCTGAGGGCCATGAGTCAGAGGGGCATGGAGAGGATTTCCAAGCAGAGCTGCAGCTCTGGCAAAGCCAACTTGATGTCTGGTCCAGCTATCCAAACTTCAGAACAGGCACAGAAATCCCAAGGAGCAGGAACACCACCACAAAAAAGGAGCTAAGGGTTTGAAATGTGACAAATAAGGCTGCATAGGATGTGAGGAGTACAAGGTAAAGGACTGCCCCAGGAGAGGGTCTCCTCACTGCCAGAAGGAGCAGAGTACTGGTAGGGGCAGAAGGAAGGGCAGAAGCCAAAGGTGAGAAGCTGAAGATGGGAAAAACCGAAGCCTGGAATTAAGTACGGCACAGTCACTGAAGGTTGCAGAGGCAGCCATCCTTACCATGAAGCAGCTTGCAAAATAAGTTTAGATCTCAACTAGATCTCAACAAGTTTAAGGTCTCAGCTTAAATTTTTTGACATCGGTGGCTCAGGCATGAAAAAGAGATGCTGGATGGATGTGCTTGCTGTATTGCCCTGACCTGTAAGCACACCTCCTGATCTCCTGTCCACAGAGCTCCAGCAGCAAAAAGGAGGCCAGGACTGATTTCTGCAAGCCAGAGAAGGCAGTGGAGAAGCTGCGGAGGGCTCTGCCTGAGGACAGTTTTGTTCACCTGCTCTTCCAGCTCATGCACATATCTTTCTAAAAACAGGTACGACAGCCTGAGCTGGCTCTGTAGCATTACATTACCTGCAGCAGCACTCATTGCCAGCCCTTGACCCAGGGACTGCGTAATTTCCAGCCTGGAGCTTTAGTACTTAATTACTTGCACTGCAGCAATCCCTTGTGTACCTTCAGCTGGCCTGCTATGGTGATGGGGCCGCTAGCCATAGCCTCCTCTTTTCATCCTGTTCAGCCTGAGCCTCCTCTCCATTGCTCCATGGTGAACTGGAGCCTCTGAAGCCAAGTAATGCACCAGCAACCTTCATACAACACAGCAACCAACTGTTACTCATACCTGTCTCTCTCATACATACCCAAGTGAGCTGATGACCCACAGCATAAGCACAGCAGCACAAGTGCCTGAGCCAATGTTCACTTCAGGTTTACAAACCTCCCCCATTTGTGTCACTCTGATCCCTTCCCCAGGTGCCCAAAGGAAATGGTCAGCAACGCTGCCTTTGGTAAGTAACTCCCAGGGCATGTCCTGTCTGCAGAGCTACAGGCCGCACCTCTGTGGGTGACTGCCCCTCTGAAAACCCTGTGATGCACCAAGGGACATCAGCATCTCCCAGGGTGCAGAGCCATAAGCCCAGAGAGATGCTCTTGAAGCGTCCCACCTCCTACACATCTGAGACAAGGGCAAGCATGATGCTAGGAAAGGGATCAAGGAGATGGGAAGTATCAAGGGCAAGGAGAGGGAAGAGGAAGGGAAAGCACAGGCATCTCAAATGCTGCCAGTCACTGGGAAGGTGGTGGGAGGAAGTGCTGGTGCTGCTGGTGCAGGTACTTCCCTGTTGGTCATGAGAACAGCTGCCTGGCCTGGGGCACTGGTTTGGCAGGGTAGCTGCTGGCTGAGGTAGCCCTGCCATGTTCCAGTGCCTTTCTTCCCCACTCCTGGGTGCTGAGGCTTATCTGCTCCCTCTAGGGAAAAGGAAGAAAGGAGAGGAACCACCCAGCATGGCACTGGCCATAGGAGCTGTGTGAGAGGGTGCAGGGGCTGAGAGCTCAATTTGCACTGCCCTGACCTCTGTGATGCAGGATGTGGCCAAAGGTTTGTGCTCTGCTGAGGGATATGAATATGCTTGGTTTTGGAGATTCAGCATTTGTGACAACCTGTGCATTCTTGCAGCTGCTTTTCATAACAAGGAGTTAGAGCAGCCAGGGGGAAAGGCCTCTGGGTGCTCTGTTTGCTGGCAGGATGTGGGCTAATAGCAGCCATGAAGAGGCAGCTGCCAGCCACAGGTAGGGGACACAGACAGAAGGGTGCTACTGAAACACCTCAATCCCCCCGAGCACCAGCAGCTGCTCCCAGCAAGCCCAGAGCCACAGTACCCAGTGAGTGCTGCCTTCCCTGGGGGAACAGCCCACACTTCTCCATTGCACCAGGTGGCTGCAGCTGGGAGAGGCATTGCATGGTCTGGATGTGGAGCGAGCCTGTCATCTCTCCCTCATCAGCACAGCCAGGCCTAAAAATATCCCAGAGTGGGTTGATGGTGGCTGTGCTACAGTCTCCATTATGCAGATGGAAATGGCTGGTCCCTGCCAGAATGCCTGGGGAAGCACCAGCTCCTCTGCCCTGCACTGGCACAGGATCTTGAGATCCTGTTTTGTGCTGCAGAAATCTCCATAGGGGAGAGGTGCCAGGGACAGACCATGGCATACAGCATCCCAGCCAGGCACAGCATACTGCTAGGGTTCTCCTGGTCAGGGCAGAGAGCTCCATAGGCTTTGTCCCTCCTGGATGCATGGGACTGAGCAGGGTGGAGAAGAAGGGTATAGTTTCACAGCCCACTGCCATGAACTCCTAAGAGTAATGAAATGGGGAGCTGCCCAGGCAGCACTTGATGAGTTAGAAGTGCACCCAGGCAGCTGAGCTGAGAGCACTATGTATGCAAGCATAAGGGCACAGGGAGCTGAAGGACAACTTAGCAGAGCAGCCACAGCATGAGTGGGATGAACCCTCAGCCCACAGGAAAAGCCAGAGAAGCACAAGAGCAAGGGGCAAATTTACAGTTTGGCAAGAGGGCTGGCTGGCTTTGTACCCTGCAACATGCTGCCAAAGGGCAAAGCTGCCAGCTCCTCCCTTCCCATCCCAAATCCACATGGCCTGACAGTGAGCACAGCTGCTGACGCTGAGCCTCGGGCAATCGCTCACCCAATAAACTTGACTGAGTGGGAAAAGCAGCAGAGACTGCTGGAGAAGTCAGGAAGGATATAGCAGCTCCTGCAGGAATGGTTTAAAGGATAAGATCATGAAGCCAGAGCCAGAGATTCTGGCTCTGATATAGACTCTTGGCTGACAGGCAGAGTCTGATTTCATCCCAGCCTCAGAGGTGCCCCCAGGATGTCACAATCATCCTTGACCACAAACCTGAAGTGCTGTTTACTCACCCTCACCGCATGGTGTGGTTTCCTCAGATCCCGGGCCAGCAGGGCAAGCCCCCTGCACAACCAAACCTCTCCTGCAACGGTGACCCAGCATCAAGGCCACACTGACTGGGTGGCACTTCCCAGGGGCACACGCTCCAAGCACAGACCTGTCACCTCTCCCTGCACCAGACTGTTGGCAGCTCCCACAGCCTGCAGGGAGCTGTCGCCAGGGATCAGAGCCCTGAGCAATCTCACCTGCTTGTAGGGCTGGAGGAGAGGTTGTGCTGGGAGAGCCGTGAGTCCAAAACACCATATGGCCCAGCCATAGCCAGGCATCTGTTCACTGGGAAGTGGAAAGTCTGCCTCAGCAGGTACCAGGCACCTCTCCAAAAAGGCTGCACAAGGGCTCTTCTGTCCAGTGGCTTCAGGAGGAAGGATCCTCTAGGCAGGCTCCAGCCTGCCTGAAGAAGGGGCAGGGGGGCAGGGATCTACTCTGAGAGGTGATGACTGTCCAGGCCCCAGGATCACCCCCGCAGCCCTAGTCCTGCACTCTCTGGGAATAATCTGTGCAGCCTCCATATAGCCAGTGCACAACTGGAGGCTGCTTCTTTGCAGAGTCTGCACAGATGGCCAAAGGACTGATCCAGGTCCCCCAAATCTAGCCTTACAAGACGACAGAGTGGAGGACACAGGCAGGCAGGAGGGATCCTGGGCAGCTGTCTCAGCCAGCATGGTCCAGGGTAGCAGTCAACAAAGCAGGCTCCTGGGGAAAGACCTCCCCAGCACACCAGTGCAATGCCCCACACAGCCAACAGTCCAGCCCAGAACAGGCAGGGCAGTGGGGCAGGAGAAACCTCACTACAGTGGGCTGGGACCCCTTGAAAGGGCTCCTCTGGAGAAGGTGAGGTGTGAGGAGCAAGAAGCCCTTCCTCCTGTGCTGGCCCATCAGGTGCTGACGTGCCTGGCTCCCAGCCCACCAGCTCGGAGTCACGCAGCTCCCATGAACGCTGTCTTTCTTCTCCCTGCTGCAAAGCCCTTGGCAGCCCCTCACCCGCTTCGACTGGAGAGGGAGAAGAGCCAAGATCTCTTTTTCTGTCCTTTCCCTTTGCCAGGCTCTGCACAGTGCTGAGGGCCCAAGCTGGGGGTCTCCCTCCTGGTGACAGCACTGCAGACCTCTGCTCCCACAGGAGTCACCCTCCAACCAACAAGAGCACGGTTGGCTCCAGCCCCACTGTGTGGACTGCTGAGGGTCCAAACAGGCTGCCCTGTGCTACCTCTACATATGAAAGAGAGAATGGCAGAATATGAGTATTTACACTTCTGCCAGTCCCTGTGGACACCAGCTGTTAAACGATGTTTGGAAACATCTATCCAGCTGGAACTGGGAGGGCCAGAGAGGACTCAGGACAGACCCATCTCTGGCTGCCAACACAACTGCTCTCTTCATCCTGCCCTGGCTCTGCTGGGCCTGGACAAGCAAAGCTGTGTTCCTGCTGCAGAGCCAAGTAGCCTGGGCAGCCATCCACCACAGGCAAACAGTTCCAAACCACATGGGCTGCTTAGCCCTTCGGTGTAGCCACTCCCCACCAACAGTTTCCTTGCTGTCCTGTATCACATCACTCCTGTTTTCCATGGAACTGTCTGCAACTTAACTGCTCCTCTGTACCTGCAGCCCATCAGCACCCACCACCCACACTAAAGGCATCCATATCCTGCACCCAAGACACTATCATTTCTTTTTAATTGCTTGGAGCTATTAGGAAGGAAGTTTGTTCTTGCCTATCCCTGCTGCAAGGATAGGCAAGAAAATTAGCCCAAAACTTGCAGAAATTAGGTAAAAGTTGCATCTGAGGAAATGAGAGTCCGAGCATATGAACTAATATCAGTTCATTCACAACCATCTGATCCCCATGTCTGAAGTGTCTCTGGAGGTCCATGGGTACAGCACACTGCCATGCCTCCCTACATTCAGCAAGACTGTGGGATTGAGTCACTGTGCTTCTTGAAGTAGTTTGCTTTGGTCTATAGCATACTTGTTGGGCTGTAAAGACAGCTTTGCTCCTCCTCCATATGGAGGACCTCAGCCTGGATATGAAAACCAGCCACCCACCTTGCCTACAGCCTGTGAGGAGGCAGCTCTTCCTTCAGCCAGCAGTGTGGATAACGGTGAGAGCATCCCAGTTCCTGGGGTGTTGGGCAGCATGACGAGCCCACGCTGCCAGGCAGTAACTCATGGGAGGTGCAAGAGCACAGGCAGCAGGCCTGTTTAATTTCTCTCCTGCATCATGTACTGAAGGTGTTCATAGCCACTAGAACCATTCATAACAGTGAGAACGTTTCCTAAATGCAAAATTCCAGGCCAAAGACACCTCTTCTGAGGCTCTCCTACCTTACTCAGTTTTGTTTCAAAATTAACATGCATACTATACCATTTAAATCTTTTTCCAGTACCCTCCCACACACTTCCCTCATTTGCTAGGTGCTGTCAGAACTGTTTTGATACTGGCATTGTCACATTACTCATGCTGCACCAAGGAGGCTGTGGCAGTGCTTGTGCATGTATCTGCCAGAGCTTCATGAAAAGATGGCAATCAGGTGAATGTTTCCCATTCCTCTGGAGACCATTCTGGTGAGGTCAAAGGACACTGCAGATACACACCCTCAGCTATGCTCATTACTGGAACCAAGCAACAAACGCCACCTGGAATGTTGTGCTCTTCATTCATCCAAGGGAGAAATCTAAAGCTGTTCAACAGCTCTAACAGCAATGTGGAAAAATTAAGACTGATTATGGGAAAAGAGGAAAAAGGCTTATTTTGATTTGAAGCAATACAACAATATTGTCCATGTTCAGTTGACAATACTACACGCTTTACCCTAATCTAAATGTCCACACTGACAGGTTTTGTGTAGTATCTACAAATTTGTCAGGGAAAAGGAGCCATTATCATTTTCCCTAAACTACAAAAGCTGGCTATAGGGATACCTGGCACATTAGGTCTCAAAGATATGAGCTGAAATAACACTACAATAAGCAAATTCCTCAAGGTTACTGATACACTTGGTGTATCAGTAACAAAAGTCCCCGAGCTAAAGTAGAAGAATCTCCTTTCTCTGACTGCCAATTCAGCAGGTCTTAACTAGCACTGTGAAGTTCAAGAGTCAACACCAAAGCAAAGAACACAGCTGTCTGAGACTGCGCCCAGGTAAGATTTTCTGATGAGTCCTCTTCTTGCACTCTCAGCTACAAAGGGAACCTAAGGCAACTCAGTTCTTGCTGCAGATGTCTCAGTTCTGTGTTTCAATGAGGAGAGATGATTCTGTGGTTCCATCCCTGTTCTAGTTAAACAGCCAAGCCGGACTCAGTCCTTAAATAACAGAACTCCACTTAGGTCTCTGAAAGACCCCCAAGAACTCACTAGATAAGCATTAAGGAGATGAATATTAGAAAAGAATAATGCTAATAGAAAAATTAGAAGCATGATGAGAATTTCCAAGTCCCGTTGCTTTAGTTCTTAAATTAGTTTAGAGACTGTCTTTTTTGAAACTAGATTTATTTCTTGAGGAAACTGAAAACAATATACAGGCTACCAGTCTTGATTTCACCCCATGTTTCATTAGAAAACAAGCACAACTGCAGACATGTCAGACAACAGGAGCCCAGTTAAAGAATGGAAGAACAGAGATGCATTGGAAGCCTTAGGATATGTCACTATGCTCCTCAAACAGTGCAGAATTAACTCAACCCAGCTAAAAACACCATAAAGAGAGAGAAGAAGCAAGGAGAATGGGTCCTACTACTGACAGTATTGCCTCTGGTCATCTGAGAAGTCTGCTGATAGAAGTCTCGTACAAGTCCAGCCACAGGCAGAAACATTGCTGCAATCAGATGCTTTACAAAGAATACAGTCACCTTTTAAATGAAAAGTTATCACTGATTTGCGAAGCTCATCTTGAATTAAAGGCAAACCACTATTTGTTTATACAAAAATTTCTCCTCATGGGTCCAACCTGAACCAGTCACAGATGGAAGCTTCATGAAAAGTGAAGAGGTCTAGTGACTGCAGCACCACATGCAATGGACCCAACAAAGGGCCATCAGAGCACACACTGACCATGATTTTGTACTGAACATGCTCAAGAAACACCTGACTAGCTGATAATCTGGCAGCCCCTTACCCTCACTGGAATGATGCTGTAAAAAGGATAAACTCTCTTCCAAAAAAGCCAAAACCACTGAAGAAAATTATCAGACATGATAAAAGTCTTGGTAATGGAAAGCCTATGTACTTTTGAGACAGCTGCTCTGTACAGCACTTCAAGCCATAAACCAAATTGCATTTGCAAAGTCAGATCACAAAGACCCCTCAAACATCAGGGTCACTGATCTTAAGTTCAGAGAGAACACAGTTTAGTCCCTGCAGCAGTTAGCAGTGTGCTCACATTTGAATAATGCAGCACAAGAACTGACAGGAAAATTGGGAAGGCCCTTTGTCTCAGAGTGCAGGATGGCAGCAGTTTCCAACACAGTGCAGTCAACTGTGCAACTGTCAACAAGAGCAAATCTGGCACCTGCAGAAAACATGCCAGCAACAGATAACAAAGCTCCTGTTCCAGAACAAACACTATGCATAGGAGCTCCTGAAAGTCACTGAATACTGTCAGAGGTGAGTGGCAAAAACTGCTGCAGGTGAACAACAGAATATATTGAGTTGGAAAGGACACACAAAAATCAATAAAATCCATCTCTTGGCCCTGCACAGAGCAGCTCCAAGAACCAACCCCAAGAACACCATACCAAACAAATCCAGCTGTTTCCTACTAGGTCATCATTTTAGGATGAAGCTGTTGAGCTATGTGTTTGCAGCACAGGTAGTATAGCATCTGGCACCTAAAAGGTGAATTTAAGCTCTACAGCAGTTTGGGGACAAAGACTGAATGCAGGCACCTTTTCCCTGGAGGGAGAGCGGCAGATTGTGACAAGGAGTATATTTTTCAGTTACACACAGGTAGTGTTCATTCTATGAGAGGTTAATACCAAATTAACTCTGACAGAACAGAGGCAAGTTTTTTAAGGCTCTGCCAGCTCTTCTCCACATTTGCTCACAGCACATCACTTCAGAGGCTTATATACAAGCTCAGATGTCAAAGTACAGTTTCATTCCTATTGCCTGGACCAGATTAACTGCAGCTACCAGACCCAGGTCTTAACAGACCTGGTTTTATCAAGCCAACTATCCCATTCATCAGAAAGCCATTTAATACCCTGAGACCAGGAGTTTTTGACATGGTGAAAGAAAAAAAACTCAAAACCAAAACAAACCAAAAACCACAAAAAAACTCTCATTATCTCCTTTCAGAATCTGTTTAAGACTTCCAATACTGATGAATAAGGTATTCCACCACAAAATTAGGACAGATTACCTCTATGCAAAACAGTGTGCAAATCTTTACTACTTATTCTTCTGACCCTATAAAAATGTAGGGCTAAAGATTTTCTGTATAAAAGTTGCAGTTTATTTCTTTTCTGATCAAGAGTTGTATCACTACTCAATACTACATTTTATTGCTAATCACAAATTGATGCACCGGGGTTTCAGAAGGGTTTGGTTTATAGCGTTCCTATGTAACAAAAGGAAAAAAGTTACAAATCCAGACTTTGCAGACACATTGCCATGTCCCTATAGAAGCAGGGATGCATTAGGTCTGTTTCATTAGAAAATTCTCCTCTTGAACAGTTTCTGGAGAACAGACAATCATGATTTTCTCCAGTAGGAAAATCTACCTCATCATTCCATGCAAAAAGAAGGTGGCCAATCTGCTCCACAGCCTAAAATTCCTTTCCTACAGAATGGGAAAGGAACATGTATTTATACTGCTCCTACTGTGGTGTGTTAATGCTTAATTTATTAGGAGCAAGTTGGCACATCTTCCAGGTACACCTACTACCCAGCTCAATTCATCTTCCTATGGCTGGGGTAGCAAATTCTCTCCATCACAAGTGAGATGTGTCCTAATACTCTATAAAAATGCTACAGTAACCTCTGCCAGACAGCAACACGGCAGCACTCCTGCTCCAGAAGAGCATTGCACAGCCTTTCAGTTAGAACACACAGCTCAGTGCATACTTCATCTGTCTCAGACCCAGTATTAGTTGCTGCAAGCAAAAGCCCATGGACACACAACAGATAGTGCTGCCCCAGAGCAGCACTGCTTCAGATACCGCTGCCCTGTCATCCCCAACACTGTGATGCTTGGATTTCAAGAAGGGAGAGTTAAGACTGTCCCTTTAGTCATATTGCCTTAGAGAAACTCAAAACAAACTCTTTGGGAGCTGAATGTCTATTGGGAGCTGAACACCTATTCTTGTTAGAAGGCTGCACTTCACAAGGCTCCAGAGATTTCACTGGTTCTGAGGCACATACTATTAACAATAAAACTCATGATTAAGTAAGTGAAAAGCACTATCAGAACAAAAATATTAAATGGAAGGTTAAATAATTTGTCCTACAGGATTCAATTTCACATTTCACCTGTTCACACAAGCACCTCCAGTCTGTTCAGATTTCAACAGCCTATAGCTCAACCTCAGAAAGGAGGTGCTGAGAAACAAGAGACTGAAGCTGCTTGCAACAAAAAAAAATGGATATAAATATAAAAGAGGTTCCATTTCCAGCACCAGTAATACTGCCTGCTCAAGCCCAGGTGTGGTCACCAGGGAGACTCCTGAATTCAGGAACATGATTCAGTTAAAACAATAGACCATACTATCCTGCAG